ACTGTAGTCACTAGGGTTACAGAAGGAACACATGCTTGTCGTAAGAGGCGACTAACGGCATGTGAGTAACCTATGTGTCACATGATGTCAAATAAGTGTCATAAACATGGACATAAGATGGGTGTTTTTTATGTTTGCAATTTGAGAGTAAAAGTTTTAAATGTTGAGTAAAAGTGAAAGTTTTACAGGAGAACACATATTTCTTATTCAGTAATATATATGACAAATGCTAAATCATTTCATCACTGTACAACCAAACTACTTGAGATATTCAATGACCATCTGTCCTCACTACTATTTCCTGTATTTAATGGATCATGAATAGATCATCACTTGTGATCACTGTGCATCATATAGGTTACCTATGTGTCACATGATGTCAAATAATTATCATAGACATGGACATAAGATGGGTGATTTTATATTTGCAATTTGAGAGTAAAATGTTTAAAATGTTGAGTAAAAGTGAAAGTTTTACAGGAGAACACATATTTCTTTATTCAGTAATATATATGACAAATGCTAAATCATTTCATCACTGTACAACCAAACTACTTGAGATATTCAGTGACCATCAGTCGTCAACTGCTTACTATTTCCTGTATTTAATTCCGGTCAGACACTTGTCTCCCTACATAACGGAAGCTGACCGCTTGTCAGCATACATTCAACATCACATTGAAAAATTATCCATGCCATGTACTCATGATTACAGTCTGACCTTTAAACAGCGGAAAGCTGACCGTATGTGACCACGCTGAAAATTATCACCAACCATGTACACATGATTACAGTCTGACCTTTAACCTACAATAAAACAATTTCTGGTCAACTTGAACCGGCGAGCACAGGAAGTCACACACAGGAAGCTAAACACATCAACCATCCCAGGTCCGCACCAACTGTCACCTACTTGAACATAATTTGTACACGCATAAGCATAATTGATACAAATGACAGCATTAAATACTTAAAAATGGTGGTCAGGATGCTGGTGCTTTTAACAAACATAACACCTTACACTATTTCATCCAATCACAGCTGTCACATGTCTCTTCAGTTACGGCTCAGCGAGCAAGCGATTCTGCTATGCAGAATAGCATAGTGTTTTGTATTAATGTCTATAGACTGCGCCCTCTATTTCACGCATATACGGACCTACATGAATTTTAACAGCCACAACCGTTTATTGTTGACAGATATGTAATACTCAGAACATTCGGTGTTGTTCCTTGTGTGACAGCGTATTTTAAACTTTGATTTAACAAAATGCGCTGTGATATTTTGACCTTATAAATCGCAGCTAAATTCCGCTCTCATTGTGTGATATTAATTCTACGTTGAACACGTATGCTTAATCTGTCTCATAGTCCCGGAACCACATTATTTTCCCTACTGCCACATGCCCTCTCTGCAGTGCTAAAACCCTAAATAAAGCAAGTCTAGATTTCCTCAGGTTCTGAATCTCTGGGGTCCTCCGGGCTCCTTTTCAATTTAAACGGGCGTGTATGCTATCAAAATTATATATATTCAGAGACTAAGCATTAGTTTGTCGTGTGAACACTCGAGTCGGCAAACTCATACCACTCATAAGGTAATTGAATAATAATCACAGACCACTTGAACCTGAAGGTGACACACACCTGGGCCGGAAAGGGTGAGGGTGGGGTTCAACAATCGATTAGGTCACACAAAGGTCACACCTATGTTACGTCATAAAAAGAAAATGGAGGATATTCTGTCCAACACACCCACACACCCCCCACCGGCCCACCCCACCCCTGACATGCACACTCAAGCTACCCACGTGTACACTCATACACAAACAATTCCCTCCAGTCCAATCAAACATAAACACACGCACTCACATACTCACGTTTACACTCAAGCTACCCACGTGTATACTTAAGCTACAGCCGTTTACACTCAAGCTTCACACGTTTACACTCAAGCTTCACACGTTTACATTCAAGCTACACACATTTACAATGACGTCATATCAGTTACAACAACTACCAGCATCACTAATGGGTTGTAGTCGTGTGTCTGGCGAACATCCCAAGATCTGCTTTCAATACCAGGTTTCTATATCCGCCAATATGAGTTGGTGTGTATCATTGTGTACATACGCCAAGCATGGGTTACTGAAGATCAATTCTAACCCGGATCTTCACGGGTCTTGTGTATGATTGTTGCATGTGGGTGGGGGAGAGTGTGTGTTTGTGTGTGTTTTTCTGTACGCCTTTATGCGTGTTTGAGATGTGTGTGTATGTGAGTGCGTGTGTGTATGTTTGATTAGGGGGGATTGTTTGTGTATGTGTGTGTGAGCGGATGCTTTATTATTTACCCTGTTCATCACAGGTTGAGTGTAAATACATTCTGTTTTATGTACGTTTTGCGTGAGTGAATGCAAGTAAATCAATGGCTGTCAACGTCCTGATCTGAATAACTCGCAAGGAAACCGAAACAAGGTTTTAACAGTAATGAACCTTTACGGGACGCGATCCTATTTTAGAAAAAAACTCCATCACACTGATCAACGCAATCCAAATTAGCGAGTCCAGTGACATGAATACTTCCATCCTCTGGTCGAGACTCGATTATTTATAGGCAGCCGTCATATAGCTGAGTGCGGCTTTAAACAACCAAAAGACAAACTAACTATCGTTCATGATTAAACATACTTTCTGATTCAAAGTTTAAAAACATATTACAGTTGCCCAGTTTCAGTACTGCCTTACATTGACAGCAGCACCATACATTTTAGTGTCCCGTGTGGTCATGTGGGATCTTGTTCCAGTGTGGTGAGGTTTCATGTTAGCCCTGCTAACTTCACTTGAATAAACTAGCAATAATAGTGGTGAAGATGAAAAAATACATTCAGCGAAATGAATTTCATGGGTTTGATACTTGACTATTTGAGTCATGTGTGAGTTTCATATGGTGAGATTGGTTCAACTAAACTCCGAGATTCTACAATAATGATCATAGGTACTTCAGCACTACACTTGTAGGTTTCACTACACCACGTCACGAACATTAACCTGACATGCTGTTACATATCTGACACGCAGTTCAACCGATCACAGAAAGAATGGTTTCTACATACACTACTGGTTTCTGTCGCCTGGGTGTGCTGATTTTCACCAACGTCATTATGGTTTATGCAATAAATTAGTCTGTCCCCGAATGTCATCATAAGCTCAGTAGCATGAGGCTTTGCTGAATCACCTGTGAAATAATCTTTTGTCTGAAAAATGTAAACTGACCCCGAGTGCGTTCACAAACAAATACATTTCAAAAACACATACCTGTCCTTGAAAGCAGCGGGATCTCTGAACTTCTAAAAAATATTCGTAATTCAAAATTGTCAACTAGATTTTGTGGTTTGTCAATCACATGGCTGTTTGGTTTGTACAGGATGCCGCCACTTGCCGCCAATGTGAGGTGTTGGGATTAACAATACATTTATACTCTTCAGGAACATGAGGTGAATGGCTGATGCTACAGGTAGAACAGGACACCCTTACACCCGGTGTCCACACTGATTTTCTTTGGTTCCGTTAGATGATTTACGAAGCAGTCTTGTCTTTTACACCAAATGGAATCTGTTCCTGGGTTTTGTCAAGACTGGGTCTTCTTTCGCACTGACGGTTGCTGTTTCATCATTAGTTTAGTGATTTAAACAGGAACTTAGATTTCACGTGCAACAGAATTCACAGAAACGTGTACTACGGTGGAACATGACATGGCACATGGAGTCCATGCACTACGTGGTTTTAGGTTCAAGCAATCCCACAAGAGACGGGCACATGTTATAAAGTAACTGTTATATCTGCATTGACGTTTCTTGGAATAGTTCCCGATCATAAGGTAGAAACCCTACAACGCACAATTTCCTGCATTACCTTATCAGTATTTTAATGTTTATACTAATCAGTGGAGGATATTATTACTTCGATCTACGCAATGGGGATACGATAACATTGATGTCCGTGAGTCTGACAGCCCGATCCCGTTAGTCGCCTCTCACATGCATGACTTGCTGAAAACCAATCCTTTTTCATCTTGAGCCACCATCAAAATCTGGTGTAGTCTTTCTTTTGCCTCGGAGCTTATATAAATAACCGTTAGCAATGTTTTCAAATCTACTCTTAAATGTTTGTGTTCAGGATAGACCTATTTACCAGTTAATCAAATCAGACGTGTATGAAACACTTCGTCGAGATTCCTGCTAGTGTTCCTTCGGTTGTATGCTCTTTTGAAGAGAAGGGTTTTAAAGATCTAAAGCTGCTGATATTGTCAGATTTTCGGACATTTTCTGGCAGAGCATTTCCGAGAGCAGGGCTTGTTCTATCGCAATTACGGTCTGCTGTGGCACGTCCAAACGGAACATGCTAAGTTTGGTGACTTGCTGATCTGAGTGTCCTTCCATGCTCATGAAGACTGACTAGTTCCTGGAGACGGATATTTCTGCATTGCAACTCAGATACGAATAAGAAAGTTATCTGCAGATAACCAATGCGAGCTGAAGAAGGCAAAGACATTATCACAATAAGTATTTTGTTTTTTCGTTGGATTTTAGCAATATTCCTTCAGTCTATCATGAGATCGGGCACCAGATATATGTCCAGCATATTATATGAACGGAACATTGAATACAACATCACAGGTATCAAATAACATTTCTGGGCATATACTGCCAAAGACAATATCATAACATGTACCTTTAATTCTACAACAGTTTGTTATTTGTCACTTCTTGTTGAGGTCATTTACCTACCCGTGACCTGGTCACATTAATATTGTATCATTTATGTCATCATTTACATTGTATTTGTACAATGGACAAGACATACAATATTTAACACCCAATACAATACTGTCCACAGTATGACAGTTGACTTAAAAAGAACAATGATTGTGGCCAATGACATGATCATGTGACGAATGTTTCCGGTGAAGAGATTCGGCAGTGGCCTGAGCAATGCTTTGATCTTCTTTCAGGCCTATTTTGAATTGCGCAGTAAAACGTGACGGTGGGCTGTGTCCTTATGAACTGTTTGAAATTATAGATATGTAAACACATTTGTGTAGCAGGATATCACGAAATACATGTGACCAGTACATCAGTAAGACTTCAGGTGAGTGAGATTTAACATTATGTCCCAGAAGGTTGCACGTATATAGGTACGCTTGTGTATGTGTGTGGCTGCCTGTACCAGGCTGATCTAATACCGGTTTCACATTGCAAGCTCACGACTCAGTTTAACATGGATACCCCTTTACCATCGTGAATACTTACTCTATGGCGACCAGCATGAATCTGCTGTCCGCTCCGACGCTGTTTTCATTCGACCACAGGGCAGTTCCACTAGGAAGAACAGATGGTTGCCGACAATGTGTACCAGAGGTTGTTACATTTTTGGAGTACAGAAACGTATATCGTCGCCTGAAAACCAGAGTGTTCTAAGTCCACTTTTGACAAAATTAGAGTTAGTATGCTCAGGGTAGGTTTTAGAGCATAATCTATTACTCTAGCAAACTTTTACAGTGCTATCTAGCTTAAAAGTTGTTTTTCAAACACAAACTTTGTTCTATCTACATGAAAAGGCACATGTTGTTAATTTGCGAGTGTTCTAAGTTGTCAATTGACCAATCAGCAAGCACAATTTGATCACGTGACATTGCGATTTACCAATTTTGAAGTGATTGTCATCATGGAAATCGAACATTTTATCTTTGTTCTTAATTCTGCTTTAGTTAATTAAATATAGTCCTTATGAAAATAAAACAGGCACTAAAGAATTAATAATCAAATATCGATATACTAGCTCGATATCGATATATAGTTTTCGCTGTGTTTTTTGACACTTAGAACTCTTTGGTTTTGAGAAAAATCACGATTTTCTTTCGTCAATTGACCAATGAACAAGCACAATTTGATCACGTGACATTGAGATTTACCAATTTTGAAGTGATTGTTATTATTGAAATGGAACATTTTAACTCTGTTCCTATTTCTGCTTTATTTAATTAAATATAGTCCTTATGAATGTAAAACAGGTTTAAACGACAAAAATACAACCTGGTTATAAAGAAATAACAATCAAATATCGATATAATAATAATAAAGCTGAGTTTTAGCTGTGTTTTTTGACACTTAGAACACTTTGGTTTTGAGAAAAATCACGATTTTCTTTGGTCAAGTTTTCTATCTCCAATCATTTTTCGTGAGTTTCTTATTTATTTCAATAGTTTGAGCATATAATTTGATATTTTCTGATACTGTGTAACATGTCACATGCATGTGCAAAATTTGAAAGAATTCGATTGAAAAGTTCAGAAGATATTGTGGTCCTAAACTTCAAGATATAATTTCTCGAAAATAGTTTTTTGTGACTTAGTACACTCTGGTTTTCAGGCGACGATATGCTTGAATAAATACATTATAAGGTGTTAGTGTGCACGTGTGAATACATGCATGTGCATGGGAATACATGTTGGGGATAAGAGAGAGAGTTATGCAAGCAAGTATAGGTTCAATCATCTTTGTCACACACAGGCATATAGACATTGTTTCATTCCGTTTGGCTAATATATCTTTGTATCTTGTGGAAAATTTAATGTATTACATTCGTAATTGGTCATAATGTAATCATTAACAGCGGCTAAACAGTGACGTTGAGAGAAACGTACTGATCACAAATTAATGCTGCAGGAAACAGAATAACCCAATACTGGTTTCTAACAAAACCAGGAGCGAATCCTTATTAAGCACCCCTCTATTACGTGCAATACGAATTCGTTACACTGTTGTGATCTCTATCACTATATATGTTAAACATAGACAAGTTTAAGAAGATATTATTGTTGGCTGCCCTTTTAGCGTTAAAATATGTCAGGTACCCTACACCTTATATGTTACAATTGAGGTTAAACTTCATGTCAACACTGTCAATCCGAGGTGTTGTAAACTTTCAGTCGGAAGAATTTCATGTTATATGACGGATGTGTCAGTTTCATGTGTCAGTTTCATGTGGTTAGTTTGTGTGAGTCACCTAGTTGTTAGGTCTAATATAACACAAGTTATGCATGGATACTGTATTTCTGGTGTAGCATTTGTCACACATCATTAGGAAAGAGTCATAGGGTGACCATTTTTTAGTTCATTGCAAAGTGCATAAAGGGTCACATCGGTTGATACTGAAATGCTTTCAACGAGGAGGATTTCATGTGTTTGATTCGATTCTATATGAGGGATATGTCTGATTTATGTGGTATGTTTGAGTGAGCCACGTAGTTGTTAGGTCTAAAGAAACACATGTTATGCATCGATTTACATGTTCTAAAATACATTGTACCTTCATAGTTGTTTGGTCTAACGCAATATATATTCTGCTTGGGATTACACATTCTGGAAGGAATTGTGTTTCATACTTTGTGCATCACAAGCACTAACGTGCCATGCTGTTACAGATCAGAAACACTGTGCACTCATTCAAACACAAAATAGATGGTAGATTTTTACTGACCAAGTGAACGGAATTAGGACACTAGAGCAAGATTGGTAATTCTGGAAAACAAGGGCGTGCTTGTTGTCTTTATTTAACTGCTAGGTTTCGTTACGAGGTTATTTAAGGGGAAGAAAGCAATTCACAATACAGCTGGGCAAACAGTTGGTCATAGATTTGGGAAAAGGTTTGTGGGCTCTCCGCGTGGACGAAAAAGTATCCCTCAGCAAACCCTCGACCGATTGGCCCATGTTACAAGGAACAGGTTATGCAGGCAATTAGGTTTCTGGGAATATTTCATGAAGGTGCATATTTCTTCGTCGTGTACTAACCCTGCCCCGGCATTAAATCTGATCAATTGTAATGTATGTTCTCTCTGACCTGTCCCACTCAAAAATACAAGTGGTGTTTTCATGTACACGAATTCGTCTGCCTCAATATATATTACAACTCGGGAACAATAGACGAAACACTTTCCGTTTCATGAATATTGTTTACCTGATCAACAGTTTGTGTCAGTGGTGCCATTTATGCTTTTGTGTGTGTTACTTCCTTCTCCCTTTTGCTAGAAGTGTGTTCAATCCACATTGTTTTGATACCATACCAGCAACATACACAGGCTTGAACACGACGTTTCCTGTTTACTTAGAGTTCCTGTTTAGGTTAACACTTGCCCATCTTGATGTTTTCCAGTGACCCTACTGACTTCATGTAATATCGTATTGTTTCTGGGCACGTCCAGTGGGAGAACATGACTACTCACTCCAGAACTGTCGCACATCCAACATGTCTAGGATGTGCTTGAACTGAGCGTTCGTCACAATAAACAACCAGCGACCACTCTCACTCAACACACTTGGCGCTGGACTTGAAATGAACCAAGTTGACATTGGACGTTTGGGTAGGAATATGTCTCGTCGGGTCCGGGATTGTCTTGAGAATAGACACACGATGTTCATTTCTGTCCGTTTGTTGTTAAACGATACACTTACCAATATTTCAGCTAGTAACAGTCTGCAAGTAATCAGGTCTGGACCAGACAGTCCAGTGATCAACAGCATGAGCATTGATCTCCGCTGGGAGATCATGAGTTTGACGTTTCATGACAAATGACGTGATGGACAGTAAGGCACATTCTCTAACAAAATCTATTGTCATTTGACGTTAAATGACTTATCTCAGTGAAGTGTCTCTGCTACACTGTTAATCTATTTGCCTCTTGAGTGCCACAGCAGACTATGACATATATAGGACAATGTGTTTGTATCTGTAGTTTCATACATTTACTTTTCACACATCAAACGCATGGCATTGTTATATACCTGTATACAACCATATGGTTACCACACTCAAAGCGACACAAGAACACCAGACGTCTATCGTGAATCGTATTTTATAGTCTAAGGTAGTCCTATTTGAAGATTTATGCATTATGATGTCTAAATTGAGATCAATTTCCCTATTTTGTTTTGGCATCTCAAAGAACAATTTTCTCTATGAGTAAGTTGCTAGCAGCTGTTATGTTTCTAGTTAAGAGATGTGTCATGATATTGATGAATATTATATGTAAGTGATGACTTTGGGTATCCTTTCATGTCATGCTTCTTAGTGTTCACGGAAATTATTCAGCACCATTTGAAACTGTAATGCTTATTCTGCCTGGGGTGGTGTAAATGTACATGAACAAGGCAATAGGTGCCAAGGACAAAGCTCTCTTGCCGAACTGACGTCATCACTGATTGAACTGTTATTGACTTAGCTATTTGCCTATTGTGTAATTTGGCTGCTGATGACAGTGTAAGAGATGGTAATCCTATATTGAACACGGCAGATTAAATAGTTAAAAAATCGAAAAAGCGTTTCACCTTAGGATCAGTTTTCAACTATGAATACACAATAGTGAGTCAATGAGCTTAGTTTTACGCCGTACTCAGCAATATTCCAGCTATATGGCGGCGGTCTGCAAATTATCGAATCTGGACCAGACAATCCAGTGATCAACAACATGAGCATCGATCTGCGCAATTGGGAACCGATGACATGTGTCAACCAAGCCAGCGAGCCTGACCACCTGATCCCATTAGTCGCCTCTTACAAGCGTAGGTGACTGAAGGTTTATTCTAACCCGGACCTTCACGCGTAAATACACAATATATTATATGTAACATATGTTGTATTTTGGATTGCTCGTTCTCGGTAAAGTACAGAATGCTGATACTTTCTGTTAAGTTGGATTCTATTTGGGATTTGAACCCACACTCTCGGAGTCAGGCACCCAAATCTCTAGCACACATAGTCTGCAATCTAGTCCACTCAGCCACCAGTCAATCGTCCACTATAAAGGAGGTCTGACAACTGGTAGTCTACGTCACGCACTGTGTACTCCACGGACAAGTGTAAATTTAGAAATTAAACGAGACTTACAAGTAAGTTGAAGTTTGATATAAATTCCACTGACCTATGAAGTACTGAGAGATAACATGGGTGTGCATGCGCATAGGAATCAGCTTTTAAATTAAAAATATGGTTTGCCTGTGCCAATAGGGATGGAATGGGAGGGCATGTTGTCCCTCAGCTTCATAGGTCAGTGGAATTTATATCAAACTTCAACTTACAGGTAAGTCTCGTTT